CATGACTGACAAGAGGCCTTATTTAGAAAAGGGTTTACAAAATTGTAAATTCCCGTATGTTCCATGGTTCAGGTGACAATGCTTTAGTCATCTTTCATAATGAACAGTCTAAGCTAGCTCTTTAGTAAATGTAAAACCTTACTAAAAAAAAAAAAAATACTTAAGCACTAGCTGGTTTGACTCAGTGGATAGATTGTCAGCCTGGGGACTAAAGGGTCCCGGGTTCGATTCAGGTCAAGGGCACATGCCCGGGTTGTGGGCTTGATTCCCAGTGGAGGGCGTGCAGGAGGCAGCCGGTCAGTGATTTTCTCTCATCGTGGATGTTTCTATCTCTTTCTCCCTTTCCCTTCCTATCTGAAATCAATAAAAATATATTTTAAAAAACTTAAAAACAGAATCTTTAGAATGTGTATCTGCTATAGTGATGGCTGGTTAAAATTTTGGGAGAAAATATCTTCAAATAATTTGGTTCATTTGATAGGAATAATATCCTTTTTTTACTTTCTTATTTTTAAAAATATATATTTTTATTGATTTCAGAGAGGAAGAGAGAGGGAGAGATAGAAACATCCATGATGAGGGAGAATCATTGATCGGCTGCCTTCTGTAAAACCACTACTGGGGATTGATCCCCCATCCCGGCATTTGGTGTTCTCATGTGCCTTTGACTGGAATCAACCCAGGACCCTTCAGTCCACAGGCTGATGCTCTATCCACTGAGCCAGACCAGCTAGGGCTTTACTTTTTCTTTTAAATACTGGGGTGCACTAAAGTAGAGAGAGACTCCGAAAGATTTTTAGTCTCTATCATGCTTTTGGGCATCTCATTTCCTGTCTCAAGAGATGAAGTTACCCAATTTGAAGGATTTCGGGATAAAGGGAATTCATATTTTTGTGCATTAATCCGTTCTGTTGTATAATGTACGTTAATCCTGCAGTTAAGTAACTATAGAGGACAGAAGAGTGTAAGAAGTGGGCATGTAGGGAAATGGTGCATTGAAAATGCACAACAGTGTAAAACAGTGAAAGCTTGAATTAGGATGTATTATTAGAAATTGCTTTATACTTGCCCTTATATAATCTTCACATCAGGATGATGCTTATTAGAAGGCATTGGTGCAGTAGCTTTCACACCTTGAGTAAACCACTTTTAAGAGATACATTTTCTTTTATTATGTATGTGCAGTGCATACCGATGTGTTCTATTTGATTCTATGTGTTCTATTTGGTTCTATTTATTCTAAGAAAAATGATGGTTGAAACCAGTAAGTTGATTTGTAGTTTGAAAAATTCCCCATGAAGGGACCTGCTTTAAAGACGAGATGAAATATTTTCAAAATTTCTATCTCCAATCCTGTTTGGTGCAGCCACTGTGGAAAGCAGTGTGGAGTTATTAAAAAAAAAAAAAAATTAAAAATGGAAGTGCCTATGACACAGCGATTCCACTTCTGGGAATATATCCGAAGAAGCCTAAAACATTAATTCCAAAGAATATACACATCCCTATGTTCATTGCAACGTTATTCACAATAGCCAAGCTCTGGAAGCAGTCCAGGTGCCCATCAGCAGCTGATGGATAAAAAGCTGTGTACATTTACACAATGGACTACTACTTGGCTCTGCATAAGGAAGTGTAGCCCTTTGCGACAGCATGGATGGACTGGAGAGCATTACGCTAACTGAAATAAGACAGAAAGACAAGGACCCTATGATTTAACTTATATATGGAATCTAATGAACAAAATAACAAAAACAAAATAAAAATAGACTCATAGATAGAGAACAGATGTCAGAGGGGAGAGGGGCTGTGGGACTGAGTGAAAAGGTGAAGGTATTAAGCCAAAAAACCAAACGAACTCATGGACACGGACACCAGTATATTCACATAGTGTGCAGCCATCACCACTCTAATCCCAGAGCATGCTCACAGCTCCAGAAAGAAGCTCCATCCCATCAGCAGCACTCCTCATTCCCTTTCCCCTGGCCCTGGCAGCCACTAACCTCTTCTCCATGTCTGTTAGGTTTACTTTTTCAAGAGCGTTACACAAATGGCGATATAGAATATGTAACTTTTCGAGGTTGGCTTTTTTCACGCAACATAATGCCCTTAACATTCCTTCAAGTAATTGTGCATTTCAGTCGTTTCTCTGTAAACATATGTTTTTAAAAATAAGTTTCTCTGTAAACATATGTTTTTATTTTCTTTGGGATAAATACCCAACAAACATATGCTGAGTTATACAAGGCTGTTTTTAGTTTTAAAAGAAATGGTGGAACAGTTTGCCAGAGTGTCTGTACCAGCTTTTCTATTTCATCAGCAGTGTGTGAGTGATCCAGTTTCACCATATCCTCACCAGCATTTGGTGTTCTCGTTAAATTTTTTTTCAGCCATTCTGAGGGGTTATCTCATCTCCAATGAATTATTTTTTTAAAATATATTTTTATTGATTTTGTACAGAGAGGAAGGGAGAGAGATAGAGAGCCAGAAACATCGATGAGAGAAAATCATCGATCAGCCACCTCTTGCACAACCCCCTCCGGGGATATGCCCGCAACCAAGGTACATGCCCCTGACCGGAATCGAACCCGGGACCCTTCAGTCCCCATTGAGCCAAACCGGTTTTGGCTCCAATGAATTATTTTGCACCTTTGGCAAAATCAGTGGGACACATTGGTGTGAATCTGTTCTGGATTTTCTATTCTTTGTGTGTGTGTGTGTGTGTGTGTGTGTGTGTGTGTGTGCCTCTGTCAATACTTCACGGTCTTGATTACTGTTAAATATGAGTCTTGAAATTGGGTAGTATAAATCCCTTAACTTTGTTCACATTTTTCACATTTGGCTATTCTAAAGTCTTCCCTTTTAATATACATTTTAGAAGAAGCTTTTCTATGTGTATAAAATACATTGCCAGGATTTTGATAGAATAGCATTAAACCTATATGTAGTTAATTTGGGACTATTGACATTTATTGTGTTGTTTTTTTTAAATTGATGAACACGGTTTGTCTCAATTATTTAGTCCTTCTTTACTCTATTTAATTGGAATTTTATAATATCAGGCATATTTTTCTGTTCAGATTTTTTTTGATTTGTACCTAAGTATTAATTTTGGGGGGATTAATTGTTAATGTTACTATGTTTTAAAATTTTGGTTTCCACTTGTTTGTTGTTAGTTTATAGAAGTGGAATTGGTTTTTGTGTGTTGATCTTATGTCTTGCAACCTTACTAAACTCTTTTTTTATTTTTTTATATGCACAATATGTTGATCTTATGTCTTGCAACCTTACTAAACTCTTTTTTTTATTTTTTTATATGCACAATATTTTTTATATGCACAATATGTTGATCTTATGTCTTGCAACCTTACTAAACTCTTTTTTTTATTTTTTATATGCACAATGTTATATGTACACAGATAATAATTTAATAATAAATAAATAAATATACACATTTCATAGCATGTTTTCAAGGTTATCCATGTAGTTTCATGTGTCAGTACTTGCTCCTTGGCTCATAGCTCTTATCATCCTGACCTCTGCTTTTAGGGTATTATATCCTTTTCTAACCCTGCTGCTTCCCTTTCATAAATGCCCCTTAATCTTCTCATTCTTAATTTCCATGTGAGGTCATAGTCACAGGTTTCAAAGACTAGGACCTGTACATCTTGGGGGGAGGAACAATATTCTACCTACACTTGAACTTTAGATCTTTTATTATTATCTAATGCACACTGCTCCCTGAGGTTCTATTTGCATTTTTTCTTCTGTTAAGATGTTTACTATCAGAATATTTTTATCTTTTTTGTTTGTTTTAATTTATCTTTATTGTTGAAAGTGTTATAGATGTCCCTCCTTTCCCCCCATGACCCCTGCTAGGCGGCCCCCGGCCCCCGCCCCAGTGTTGAAGCATTTTTATAATAGCTGCTTTAAAATTCTCCAACATGTGATTCATTTTGGTGTTGGCATCAGTGTGAATATCTTTTCTCGTATAAGTGTGTGTGTTTTTTTTCTTGGTATGACATGTTAATTTTATTTTTTTAATTGTATTCCGTACATTTAGGATACTAACGTTAGGAGACACTTGGTTCTCTTTAATCTTCTGTTTTAGTAGGCAGCTACTCTGTTCAGGTGTCATGGTAGGCCCTGGCCTGCTTTTGTGAGTTGTGATTTCTGTGGTCACTTAGTTTTCAAAGCTCTTGTAGGCTAGTCTCTGCTTCATTCTTCCGGTGCCTCAGGGACTCCTGTTTGGTCTCTACACGGGCACTTGGGCTGACTGGTGGGTGTGGGCCCCAGTTCTGTTGCTGCTAAGGGCAGATTGGCTGGATGTTGCCCCAGGTGTGGGACTGGGACCTAGCACCCCTGCGGCTGCTGACTGATGCTGCGGTAGGTTGGGTCCCTCACTGCCCCCGGGTAGGGATTGGGGAATCTATCTCCCTCTGGGTCTCTGCTTAGCTTCCTTTTTCACAGCGTTTGGCCAGAAAGCAGGATCTTCTCGTTTATTTGTGTGTCTGTCTGTCTATCCCTATTGGTGGCTTCAGGTTGCAGGCTGTCCTGGAGTGCATTCATGGATATTTGGGTGAACAAAAGAGAACCCAGTGAACCCACAGTGGTGCTTTTCCTCACACTCTGAGGTCCTTCATCAGTTCACCTCCTTTCTACATTTCATTGTCCCTTTGTGGTTGTTGAATTATTTCCAGTCTTTTAGTTGTATTTAGAGGCAAGGATCAGAGAAATGTGGGCCTATACCATCAAATTCTAGGACTGGAATCCTAGCAGTTTTTTATTGTTGCTTTTGGTACTGGTATTTTTTGGCAATTCTATGAAATAGTTGAGGCTTTTGCTTTTATAGATTCCCAGCTTTACAGAATTCTTTTTTTTTCATCTATTAAGTGTAGGAACAAGATAAGGGTTAACTTCTCATTTAAATTGTGTGGGAATTAGAAATGTCATGTTTTTATCTATCCATCTATTCATTTACTCTTTTATGTATTTTTCTTTAGGGAGTGGAGCAACGGCTGTGGTCCAAGCAGCATATTGTGCCCCTAAAAAGGAGAAAGTGGCAATCAAACGGATAAACCTTGAGAAATGTCAAACTAGCATGGATGAGCTCCTGGTACGCATGTCAAATATTTCTTAAGTGGAGAGGTGTACTCTTGTACATTCATGTTGGAATGGGAAATAACTTGAAGTTTTTTACTCCTTTTTAAAAAGTATGTGATTTTTTTCACTAATAGTAATGTTTATTTTTAAATATATAAAAATTCAGGTAAGTAGAGAACATATAGTTACTAGATGCCTGGTGCATGAATCATGCGCCAGCGGGGTCCCTTGGCCTGGCCTGTGGGATTAGGCCAAAACCAGCTTTTCGACATCCCCCGAGGGGTCCCAGATTGCGAGAGGGTGCACACCAGGCCATGGGACCCCACCCATGCATGATTGGGGCCTGGAAGGGACATGGGAGATTGGCCAGCTGGGGAGGGACCCTGAGAGGGGCCCAGGCAATATCCGACCATCTTGCTCAGTCTCCCAGTAGCAAGCTAACCTACCGGTTGGAGTGTCTGCCCCTGGTGGTCAGTGTGTGTCATAGCAACTGGTCGACCAGTTGACTGTCTACCCCTGGTGGTCAGTGCACATCATAGCTAGTGTTTGAGTGGCCTTAGCATATCATTACAATATTACGCTTTGATTGGTTAAATGGATGACTGGAACTTAGCGTATTAGGCTTTTATTATATAGAATAATCCTCTCACTCTGAAATTAACATTGCTATATAATCTTTCAGACCGCACATTTAAACATCTTTGTATATTTATGATAATGTGAATCATATACTTGTTTCTTTTTATTGAAAAATTTATCACAGAATTTTTTGTGTGTCTATAAATATGAATTACTATAATTTTCAATATGTGTGTAGTATCCCATTGAGTAAGTAGACCACACTTTACTCTATTCTCTGGTATTGGACCATTACCTTACTTCCTCTTTTTTATTGTTATAAAGGATGCTTGCTTATTTCTCTCCTTCCTAAAAATAGTATCATGCAATTGTGGTTCCTGGGCCAAATGGAATATCCGTTGATGGGAGATGAGAGAGAGAATGACCCCAGGCAACATTGGCTTCCGCAAAGGTTAGGGAAAGGGAGAAGAAAGGGAGTCCCAAGGATCCATAGCCTTACGAGATGTTCTCTGGCATTGAAAGCTAGTCACAGGGATCGTTTTTTACTTTTATGCACCATGACACCCAGAGTTTTAAGTATGTAGTAAATGTAGTATGTAGTAAATGCAGTAGTTTTAAGTGTTTCATCAAGGGAAATAAGATAGCTTTTCAAATCATTCCTTTTTAAGTTTTTTATTTCTTTGGCTTAACATGGACTTCATGAGGTTTCTCCTGAAGATCAAGTGACATAGTACTTGAAAACTTTATAAACTGCCATATAATTATGTACTAATATTGTCATCTTATTAAGTAATTTCTCTGAGCTCATATACAGCTAGTGATAGAGCAGGATTAGGACTAGGATGATCTGACAGTCCAGAAGTTTCTTTCCAGTGTCCCAGATTAGATTTAACTTCTGGTGTAGTCGGTACTGAGTATTAGGGAATAATTGAAATAAAAGGAAGAGAGGGAATAGAATTATATGTTCAACTTTTAGGAGATGAGATAAATGTGGTAGTGCAGGAGAGAAGCTGAGGAACTCGGTTGCTGGCATGATCTTGAGCTGTGTTTGGTGGGAGAACACACACTTGGAAGGAGATGCTAATTGAAACCCTGTTTGATGAACTTGGCTTTACAGATGCCAGCAGTACCTTAGAGCATCATTTGGACATTTGAACAACAGTGATCATAAAAGAAGTCTAAATTGTAAACTAATTCTGTTAAAGAAAAAACAGTATTTTTAATTTATATATTAAGCCTGGAATTTGAGAAGCCCAAAATGAATTTCTACCAGTTGCCAGTTAATTTATATAATACATAAAGATAACGTAAAGATGAATGAAAGTTTTATTCATTACTTCATGAATACAGAAACTGAGGCTCAAAGCGTAAATAACGTGACCAAGTTTATATGAAAGTAATAGCAAACATCTTTCCAGTGGCAGGCACTTAACTGTACTTTAACCTCATAAACTCCTCTGGGAGGCAGGTAGTTGCTCCATTTTATTGCAAGGCAATAAATCATATGATAATGACAGAGTGTGGATTAAAAATCAGGTCTTTCTGACTAAAGCCTATTTTCTTTTTTTTAATATATTTTATTGATATTTTACAGAGAGGAAGGGAGAGAGCTAGAGAGCTAGAAACGTCGATGAGAGAGAAACATCGACCAGCTGCCTCTTGCACACCCCCTACCAGGGATGTGCCTGCAACCAATGTACATGCCCTTGACCTGAATCGAACCTGGGACCCCTCAGTCCGCAGACCGACGCTCTACCACTGAGCCAGACCTGTTTCTGCTAAAGTCTATTTTCTACTTCATATACAAAATGATTGTAATCTTAGTTCAAAACTAGAAAGAGCATCTCTTTTCAAATATAATTTGACATTCTTAAAAGTAATATTTGTATTATTACAATAGGGCCTTACTTTTAGAGGAAAGGAAATTTGATATAGCTTGATTAAAGGAAAAAACATCAATTAGATCTCCATAAATTTGGCCACACATTCCAGTAAGCTTTATGTCACAAAGGTAGTAGTTATATAGTGGCAAATAAGTAAAGGTTGGGGGAAGTGACTTTTAGTAAAGCACTTCTAAGATAATTGGCTTTCGTGGGGGAGGGGACAAAGGTAAGCTCCCACTAAATCCTGAAGACACATGAGAAGAATAAATAATGCCGGGTTTATTTGTGGCATTCATGGGGTCAGAGCCAGAGGCCTGAGTGCCAAGGTCTCCATTTCTGAGAGATATGAAGCCCTTCAGTTTACCTTTAAAAACAAAACCCAGTAGGTCAACACAGTACCCTTTAGATGTGATGATTTTACAGTAAACTTCATTATCATGCAGAAGGCGCTCGGGGCTCTCCAGCGAGTGCCAAGTACAGGGGTGCAGTGTGTGTGACAGTGATTACTGAGGAGGCAGTATATTGCTCCTTTCTCTTGTCAAAATGTTTTCTTGTCTGACAACCTTTGCTAAGTGTGATGGGAAAATCAGCTGCCAGATCTTGCATTTATTTTCTCCAGAGATTTTATCACAGGCTTTTCTCTAACTTCCTCTTTTGAGATAGTTTTAAATTTACCGAGAGTTGCAAAAGTGGTAAAGAAGTTTCCATGTTATTCACTCAACGTCTCCTAATAGTAGAATAGCCACAGTAGGGTTACGAAAACTGAGAAATTAGATGTTTATCGTATTTTAGACCACTATCGTCTCACCCAGATCATGGCTACAGCCTTAAACAGAGACTTTGTCTCTGGTCCTGCTTTTTCTTGTTTATTTTTTACATTGTAGCTAGAGTGAGTGTTATGAAAAAAGAAATAGAGTTAAACCTGTGATTCCTTTCCATTGCTCTGAGGATGAAACTAAAAATCTTGAATGTAGTTATAAGATCCTTTTTTATGTGGTCCCAGGTAATGAAACAATCAAAACTGGCAAAAACCTACTTACCTTTCTTATTTCAGTTTCAGTGAAGTCAGACTTCTTACCGGAAGCCTTCCCTGATAATCACTCCTTTTTTGATAATTTGCCTCTCGGTTGAAGTCATGTGGTATCTTGTACTTCTATCAAACTGATTATCGGTCTGTGTTCTAAATTAGTATTTGTCCTACTTCTTTACCAAACTGTAAGTTTCCTGAGGGCTCACCCTAGTGATCAGGCACCTAATGTGTGCCTGGCATATAGTTGGCACTTGGTAAATATCTGTTGAAAGATCGAAGTATTTACCCCAGACAAGTTTACTCATTATATCCTATAGTATTCCTTGCTTATTTCATCTTTTTAAAAATAATTACAATATATGTGCATTTCATCTGGACTGCTATAAAACCTCCTCTGTGAAGACTTCTTGCCTACCTTACCTGTTCCTGTGGGGTTTTGTGACATTTACTATTTTTACTACTCATTTGGCATATATGTGCTATCCTATGTATTCCCTCTTCTATGTACTTATTGCTTCGAATCCTGTATAACTATGTTAGCAGTCAGGTGCTTACTTTGGTTCCTTCTTCCTTTCCTTCCTATTTACTTAGCTTTTAGTACAGAAGATTATGCTGGTGACTCTGGGAGTTGGGAAAATACATGCGACAGGCCTTCGCCACAAAGCAAATTACATCCAAGTAGAGAAGATGAGGAAAGAAAAACTGGCATTTACTGAGCACTTCTTATCAATCAGGGATTATGGGCAACTTTTACACAATTTTTTTACTAACCAAATACCAAGGTCATAGGGCAAATATATTAATTGGTAAGAAACTGTATAAAGTGCTGTAAGATCCATTCATTCAACAAATATTGATTGAAGGTGTGCTGTGTGCCAGGCCCAGTGATAAGTGCCAGAAATAGAGTCTTAGCTCTCATGGAGCTTACAGCTTTAATTGGGCTACAGAGACATAAATATGCAATTGCAGTGTAGTATGCCAAGGTCCACACTGTTTAGGAATTCACTTTTAAGTACTTGCCTTCCAGAAGTTCCCTGTCTTGCAAGGAGGGACAGACAATAAAGGCCACGGGTACTATTCAGCATATGTGTGCCATGATGTAAGGATATATGTAAGGATATATCCCTTCTCTTAGAAGCCAAGAGAAGGGATACCTAACTCAACCTGGGAGCTGGGAGGAAATGGTATTTCCACTGAGTTCAGAAGGGAGAATTGGCGTGTCCAGCTAGGCAGAAATAAGCAGGGGAGTGCCCTTGAGGCAGAGGGAACAATAGGGTTACATGTCCATGGTTAGAAGCATGGCTCACTTGAAGTGACCTGGCTGGATCTTAGGCCCGGGTGTGTGGGGGTATAAGGCTGAGGGAGTAGGAGTGAGACTGGAGAGGGAAGCAGGGCCCTGATCACACAGGGCTTTAGAGGGCATTTTAGCATACCGAATCTCATTTAAATTCACTAATGGAAATTGTGTAACCTTAGCCTGGATTTCATTTATGACCTTGCCCTGCTTCAGTATATTTCTCTTTAGAGTGAGAACTGTTAATCATTTCACAAAAATGGGATGAAACAATATTTTGAAAGAAAACAACAACTTACAAACAAACACAAAGGCCACCTTCTGTTTATCAGTAATTATCCTTTCTGGCTGTAGAGCCAGATCTCCCAGGATGGTTTTCCAAGGGCACCTTTCAGTAAAAATATGTGCCCCTGGGGAGGCCTCTGTGGTCCTGTGCCAGGCCAGGGTGTGGTACACAGGCCATGTTTCCAGTTTCACAGATTACTGATGTAGTGAGTGGAAGGAGAAGAGTCAGAATGGGCTGAGAATAATTAAGTGGTTTTGTTTTAACTGTTCATGAAGAGGTCAGAGCCATGGAGACCCCAGAAAGGTTGGGGCATAGTCGTGGGATTCCCAGTCTGTATTCACTAACTTGTAATGTTGTTTTAGGCCTCCATATAATGAGTTATCATGTTTTCTTTTTTTTGTAGAAAGAAATTCAAGCCATGAGTCAGTGCCATCATCCTAATATTGTGTCTTACTACACGTCTTTTGTAGTAAAAGATGAGCTGTGGCTAGTCATGAAGCTGCTAAGTGGAGGTGAGTAAAATGCAATGAGGTGTTAATTTCCATAGGTTGGAAAGTTAATAAAAATGTTCTTTTCCATTCTGATTTGGTTTTCATGGATAATTGCATTTGAGGAGATACTGAGAATACAGTGTCTGTTAACAGTGCTAATGTATGAGCCGAGACAGGTCTCACACATTGCATTCAGTTGTCATGCCTCTTAGGTTTGTCTTAATCTAGGATGGTTCTCTCCTACTTCCTCTCTTCCATGACATAAATTTGTTGGAGGATCTGGTCTGAAAGGTCTAATGGTAACTATTTGTAGAATGTCCCACATTCTGGATTTATCAAGTTATTTCTGTATGGTGATGTTTAACTTGATTTACATTCCTTTATTCCTTGCAAATTGAAAGTTAGATCTAAAGCCTTGATTAGATTTAAGTTAAATATTTTTGACACATGTTTTGTAGGTGATGCATTGTACTTCATAGTGCATCATGTCAGGAAGGATTTGTTATCTAGTGTATCTTTTTAAAAATATATATTTTTATTGATTTCAGAGAGGAAGGAGAGGGAACAGGAGAGAGAGATAGAAATATCAGTGATGAGAGAGAATAATTTGATTGGCTGCCTCCTGCACATACTAGGGATTGAGCCCACAACCTGAGCATGTGCCCTGACTGAGAATCAAACCATGACCTCCTGGTTCATAGGTCAACACACAAACTACTGAGCCACCCTGGCATCTGGTGTATCTTTAATGGTGGTGTTAATTTTGATTGTGTGAGAATATGATAACCAGGCTGCTCCATGGAAAGATTAACTTTTTTTCTTTTGTAGCTAGTGGGTGATTTGTGAGATAATATTTTGACACTATGAGAATTTAGCTCCTCGTCTTTTGTCTAATGATTTTAACATCCAGTAACCATCCTGTTTGAATCAGTTCATTTATCAGGGACAGCAGAATGGTGGTTTTTCCTTTATTGCATCCTTTCTTTTATACTTATAAACTGGCATTCTTCTGTGTAAAAGAACCTTACCTTATTAACTGGGGTTCTTTGATTAATCTGTATTGTAATCTCTAAATTAAATTTAATTTAATAATCAACTCTAGCGGTGCCAGATGAGAGAATCCTCCCCCCTATTCCTCTACTGGTTAAGGCTGTCATTTAAAAAATATTAATAGGTACATAGGCTCAAGGATATTTATATATTCAATGTCTTTCAATAAATTATAGTCTATTCTTTTGATGCTCAGGTTGGCCAAAATTTTGTCAGTGGGAGTCCCCTCAGGCTTACTTTTGTGTCCTTTTGACATGAATCCATCAATCTTTGATAACTTCTCTGTTTTTTGGTTCAAGATTTCCCAGGCTCAGGTTTCTGTTACTTTTCCCAGACCCAGAACCAGCCAACATCCTAAGGATCTCTGATCTTTTTTATGGGGGATGGTATTTAGAAAGCAACTTCGGATGCTCTTTGCTGCTACTTTGTCATTTCTTCTAGTTGAAAGACCTTGGAAATGTATATGACATTAATGCTTCCAATTCAATTTTAATATTAAAGATCTTCAAAACTTTAAAAATACACTTGAACCTCATTTCTATTATACAGAAAATATTGGTCCCCGGCATTAATATGATTGATTATATGCAGTCATTTCTGCTTAATCCTTAGAATAAAATATAAGTATTGTGATTGTAAACAGTGGACCCTTGGCATGTATAGATTGGACATTTTGTTACAGTTACCTGAAGGCCCATGCCATGTAGTAAATTAGACATTTTGCTAAGGCATGGATTTGAATCCTGTGGCGGAGTGAGAGAGGACTAGTGAGGGATGGAGCCACCTGACCTTCCCATCACTGTCCTTCTTGGTTTTGTTTGCATATGTATTTTGTATGGGAGCATGATTTTCCATTTTAGAATGGACAGTTCCAGCAAAGAGAGTCTGTATTTGTTTGCAATCTTAATATCATACCTCATTAATCACTTTACTTCCCCAGAGAGGTTATAAAGGAAAGAGCATAGGCTTTAGAATTAAATTTCAACTTTCCTACTTAGCAGTTATATGCCATTGGACAAACTATTTCAACTCTTTGAACCTGTTTACTTGTTTGTTAATTGTCTGCATTTCAGGGTATTGGGGAAGAGTAAATGAGATGGTAAAGCCTCCATCACCATGCTGACATGTAGTAAGGTGCACAAGAATTAGTCATTGAGAATGATAATCCCTTGTTACTTGCTGCTTTTCAGTGTAGCCAGAATCACCTTTTTGTTTCAATCCCATTAGTGACACACTGGAGGAACTGGATTGCTTTGTTACAGGCCTTGTTCATATGATGGTTGGAAGCCTTGCTAACACCAACCACCTTTCAAGATGGTGGTCAAGCATGGTTCTTTCAGTATGGACAGATATGGGAATATTAGGTAATTCTGTATCTTTTGTTATTGCTCACTTATAGCATTATTAATTTATAAAATTGTCTTATACAGAGTTTTTAATGTTTGCTAAAAAGTCCTCTGGTGAGTAGGAATAAATTGCTTAATTTTCTCATTCCATACTTGTATGCCAGCCTATTCTTCCTATTCTTTCTGGTACACTCCTAAGCAGAATTTTATTTATATTTTAAAGAATCCATGTTCTCTTAATGAATAAATGTCCTAAACACAGAAGGGGCAAGACATGTTTCTGGGTGGTACCTTTTATTATTTTTTATTTTTATTGATTTCAGAGAGGGAGAAGGAAACAGAGATAGAAACATCAATAATGAGAGAGAATCATCCATCGGTTGCCTCCTGCATGCCCCCTAGTGGGGGGTCAAACCTGCAACCCAGGCAAGTGCACTGACCCCTGACCTGGTTAATATGATCACCCTCAACCTGAGCCACACTGACCTTGTTGGGTGATGTCTTTTAAATGTATGACTCTGTCCCTCCTGGTCCTAGGACAGTGTCCAATTTTTTTTAGCCTAGCACTTAGCGGATTTCCTGAAGGATAATTTTCAAACATTAATTCTTTTTTTTCAGGCATTAATTCTTTTTATAACTACTTATAGTTTTATGAATCAGTATAATCTTACATCCAAACATTTTAAAATAGTAAAGATTTTGCATCTTTTTAAAGGAAATGAAATCTTGCTTTTGTAGTTACACAGTGAATCACATTTAACATTTAGCGATACATTGTGCAATATTAGAATATAGTAGGTAGAACTAAGCACAACTTTAAATTTTTTTAATAGAAGGAACCTGTCAAGATAGCTCAATTAAAATTCCATTCATCAAATACTTACTGATCACCAATACATTGGTGAATCAAACTGTTGGTCCTTGCTCTTATGGATCTCATAGCTAGTAAGGAAAAGTTACAGTTAAGTAATTGTCAGTGAGAAGAGTGCCATGAGGAAGTATTAGGGCCATGGGAATAAGTCAGGAGAACTTCACCTTATTGAGGGTGAATGGATGTGGGGGGGTCAACAAAGACTTCCCTCAGGAGGTGATATTCAGCTGAAACCAGTGGAGATGGCATCAGAGGAAGGATGGAGAAGGGATCTGAATAGAGGGAACACTGTACAGAGAATTGTCTGGAGGCAGGATGGAGGAGTGTGCTGTGTCTTGGGAACTGATGGGGGAAATCACAGCTGCAGAAGGGAGAGTAACAGGAGGCCTTTTAATAATTTAAAAATATATATAACCAGCCAAGACCGGTTTGGCTCAATGGATAGAGCGTCGGCTTGGGGACTGAAGGGTCCCGGGTTCGATTCCGGTCAAGGGCATGTACCTTGGTTGCAGGCATATCCCCAGTAGAGGGTGTGCAAGAGGCAGCTGATCGATGACTCTCTCTCATCGATGTTTCTAACTCTCTATCTCTCTCCCTTCCTCTCTGTACAAAATCAATAAAATATATTTTAAAAATATATATAACCAAAATTGACAGAAAAATTTATAGGCTACCTTCTTTTATATCATCCTTTTCGGCGTAAACATTAAATGCATATTTTTGATTTGGCAATATTGTACTGTTGTAGAATTTAATTCTAGTAATCTAATTAGATTGTAAAATGAATTGCAACTGTCACTCTCAAACCTATCAGCCACTGGACATCATAGTTAAAATAGTTTCAGTGTGTCAATATTATTATTTCATAATGCTTCCTGGTAACTGTAATATCCTTATCTTTTGCTAATTAAAACTCTGATATTGAATAATGAGATTTGTCAGTGTAAGTAGTTATGTTTAGAAATTAGAAGCACTTTTGATCCGCATAGCTATTTCTACAATTTATTAGCACCAACTGCAATATAAGAGTTTTAGAAATCAAAGCAATCAAGAAAACTTTTGAAGGAAAGAGAAGAAGTACCTGCAGGCTTAGATGCTGCAGCATGCTGAGGAAAAGAAGGGAGACCTTTCAGGACCAAAATTTCTCAGTCAAGGGTGATGATCTCAGAGTGACAGCAGAGGGATGGCGGGATAAAGGCACGTCTCTTCCTCTCCCCCTGACATTTCAGCATCTATAAGTCAACAAAGAAGTCCCTGCTCAACACAGATGCACACCTGAGAGACCACACTGAAACACCTAAAGGTTGGGATCTGGGAATAAACGAGGAGATGAGAAAGGAGGAAAGCACAGACTCAGCCATGCAGCGGGGAGCTTGTGGCTCAGCTGGGAGCTCACAGCCCAGCCAGGAGAGGCGTAGCAGGCATTTCCTTCGCCCAGGAGGAACAGAGTGTGTTGGGGTTGTGGGGGAGGGCGTGGGAGGGTAGTGGTCAACCCAGCAGGGCAAGCTGCTGTGAGCAGAGCAGCGAGTGCAAACAGTGACTTAAGTTTGCAGATGTCTGACAGAGCATGGGGTTTTGCTGTGCTGCTCCCCACTGCTTGTGTTTCAGACAAAGAAAGGAAACCAGAGAGCCCCGCCGCTGCCTAAACTTGCCTCCCGTTGCCCTTAGAGTTGGCTCCAGGAGCTTATTATCTATAAACCAAGAGCTGTTGCAAGAGAATCACTGTTTCTGATCCCCAGGAGGGGTTCTTGGGT